TTAGAGAATCAGCTTAGCTGGAGAAAGGATCAAGAAAGACTCCAAATTGCTCTAAGCATTTCTGAGAAGCAAATCTCCAACAACTATACTAACCATATAAAGAGCTCCTAACAGTAAAAGGAATTTCATGGACTTTTCATGAAATGAGAACAGTTCTGGGTGTGGCTAATGCCACAGGCTAAAGAATGGAGATCTTGTCTCCACCCAGTTATTGAGCCATCCTGTCTTCCCTGTTCCCAACTTTGACCCCCAGCCTCAGCCCTGATGTGAGTCCACAATTTCATCAAGAAGTTAAAATTCCCTTTATAAGCCAAGATCCATTATTGCTCTCCTTTTCAAGCAAAACTCCTTGCAAGGGTCACCCATACTTGCTGTCCCTCATTTCTCTCCTGCTAGTCTTTCTTGAACCTGTTCCAGCTAGCTTGCCCCCTCCCATCCACACGACAAACACTGCTCCCACGACCAGTGACCTCCACGTTGCCAAGTCCGATGGTTAATTCTTAGACCTCAGCTGGTGTTGATCTGACAGCTGGCCCCTCTTATCTTGAAACACTTTCTTCACTTGGCTTGTAGGGTGGCCTCCTATCTCTCCAGCTGCTTCTTCTAAGACTCCTTTGCTGGGTCCTTGTCTCAAACTCTAAATGGTCGGGCTGCTCCAGGGCTCAGTCTTGGGGCCTATTTTTCTTCTGTCTACACCTGTTTGCTGGGGGATTTCATCTAGTCTCAGAGCTTTAGAAACCAATAATATATACAGGTTCTATATAATGACGACTCCCAAACTTATATCTTCAGACTTGTATATCTTACTGCCTACTGACATCTCCACTTGGAGGTACTAATAAGCAACTCAAATCTACCTAGCCCGAAACAGAGCTCCTGTTATCTCCCTAATTCTGTGCCTTCTTTTGACTTCCCCACGGCAGTGAATAGAACTCCATCCTTTCAGCTGTTCAGCCCTAAAACCTTGGGAGTCATCCTCGACCCTTCTTTTTTCCACTCTACACTTGTCAGTAAACACTTTCGGCTCTACCTTCAAAATATGTTCACAATCTGATTGCTTTCACAACCACTTCTTGTTAACAACCAGGTTCACGTCCCCATCACCTCTCACTTGGATAAGTGCGAAAGCCTCCTAGCTGGGCTTCTGACCTTGTCCCTGCTGGTTTATTCTCAACACGCATCCAGAGATCCATCAGACTTAAATGAAATCATGTTACTCCTCTGCTCAGAGCCCCCAGTACACTCCGTCTCCCAGTCAAAGTCCACACCATGACACATAAGGGGCCCATGTGACCTCTCTGACTTCTCCCCGTCACTCTCCCTCATTCACCGCTTCAGCCACGCTGGTCTCCCTGCTGTTCCTGAACATGCCAGGTATGGCCCCTCTTCAGGGACTTTGTACTTGCTGTTCTCTCTGCTTGAGTTCTCACCACCCCCTCCCCAGACTGAGCCTGGCTCAATCCCTCCTTTCCTTCGGGGTTTTACTCAGACTACCCTCCCGGACCACCCTATGTAAACCGCTCCTCTCACTTCTCCCGTCCTCTATTTGGTTTTTCCCCTTAGCACTTCTCATTGTCTAGTATCTACTAGTTAGCCTTACTGTCTCCCACTAAGATGTAAGCTTCCTAAAGGCAGGGACTTCTCTCTGCCTTACTTAGTGATGCACCCCCCCCCCCCCCCCCCCCCCCCCCCCCCCCCCCCAAGTGCCCCACCTATGCTTGTTGAGTGCATAAATGAATGAATCCTGGAGGCTGCAGAGCGGGAGAGCCTGAGTAGAATTTAAGAACCAAAGGAGAAAACCTGCAGACTTGCATATCCTGGCACTAGGCTGGGATCCACTCACCAGGTCAACTCTGCCGATCCAGTCCCAGAAGGAACTCAACCTTGCTAGTCACCTCACACGGGGACAAGAGCCTATGCGTGGACCAGCACGGTCCTGTCTTTCTCCTGGACAGAACTCTCAAAGCACATACCTCATCACCACACACCGGGCACCACATCTCAATGCTTCTTTCAATTAACAAGTACTGGGAAGAAGTTCTTTTCCGAGTGAGTTAAGACAACGTGCGTACCTGCTGTCTGAATACCTCTTATGTGTCTCCACCCTGAATCTCTCTCCTGAAAACGTGACCGTGTCGTTGCTAGTTTGCATCCTATCAGACTGGAAGGGACCCTGGAGAAGTGAGTGGGGACACGGGGCAGCCAGCAGGGGATGGTGAGAACTCATCACTGACAGAAGCAGTCCCAGGAAATGGTACAAAAATACTGGGCCTCAGAACTCTGTCGAAAACAGGAGAAAAAAAAACCAAGACATACTTTTCCCCCCTAAACAATATCATTAGGTACAAACACGTGCTCTCTGCTTTATTTGTGAGTCACTTCACACATTCAACCGGGGCTACGATCGGTTCTGAAATGAGTAGTGACTTCATTTCCCCGGGACAAGAGGGCTGGCTCACCATTTACTTTTTTGATGGCTGGGAAATGTTTTGGTCTGTTCTGAGGCTAGTCTGAGAAGACTCCCAGTTAGACACTGGCCAGGGGCAGAAATATTCCACATCCAATCACGTGGCCCTGCCTGCTGTCTCTTACTGCCTATTTACACCCTCTGAAAGGCAGCTTTGTGATTCCACCAAGTCCCCTAGGAGAGGTAACAAACACCCCAAAGAGGAAGCTCTGGAGAGAGGACATTTGAGAGTGTGGAGGCCAGTGCCTGCTGGTTCCTGCGCCATTTTCACTGCATGGCTGAGACAAAGAGACCACCTAACAGCCTAAATCACGGCACGGGGACAAACACTTCTCAGTGTGGTGGCGCTTCTGGCTAGGGACAGCATGCAGTTCCGATGTTGAAACAAACTATAGCTCGGGGAAATGGCCAAAGGAAGGATTCAAACAGCTGGGTCTGCAAGCACGTTCTTCCTGTGACACAAACAGCCCTGACATCTCAACACTGCTCGGAGCTGCTCACAGAGGGTAAACTGAGAAGCAGCAAAACAGGGCACTTAGCTCTTTATACTCCTCTGCTCCTGAGTGGAGCTCATCTCCCAAGAGCATGCCAGCTTGAAGCCCATCCTGATGAGAAGCAATCCCGTATGCTAGTGGCGGCCTCAGAGCATCGGCAAAGAGCGCGACCTAGACGTGCAGTGAAGTGGTAGCGTCCCTCAGGCTGCCAGTGCTGACTCTGCTTGCTCCTGGGCTCTCTTCTCAGCCTCGAGTGAGGCAGTAGAAAAATCAGTTTTCCATTCTGGAATCCTGTCAACTGGAACAAATCAACCAGTACTACCTGGGAACATCTCCACAAGGGCAGTCTCTAACCTCCTTCCTACTCAAGCAGACAGTGCCCTTGAGTTAGGAATGCCCCACGTTTTTACCCACTTCATTCATCTTTCCACCCAGCTCCAACAGATAACTGACAGCAAAGTGATACCTCCCCACCCTGAGGTCTCCTAAGAGAATGCTGCTAGCCAAAAACAGATCTGATAACCGAGGAAGTAGTTCTTCAGAGAGAAAGAGACTTTCAACTATGTTCAGAAATATAAAGATCTAAGTGCTGGGCGCTATGAAGGAAGAAATAAAGAGAAAGCTTCTTTCCCTTCCTTCAGCAGAAGGAAGTCACAAGAGGAGTTGCACGTGGATCCAAACAAAAGCAAAGCAAAAGCATCAACAAGTGTATCCACAACGGTGTCCACTTCTCAGCCCATCTTGGCTTCCAGCCCACCATGAAGCCAAGTGTCCTGGCTTAGAGCTTGCTGGGAAGACGTTCACAAACCCAGTTAAGCTGCTCACAGGGACACTCCAGATGTATCACCCAATACACTCACAAGAAAATACTGGAGTTTCTCCAAATAGATTTTGCTCTAAGTCTGCAGCCCACGAGGTTTCAGACCGGACAATGTAATCATTTAAACTCAGAAGTGTTCACATCTCTACATTTTCTGATACTCTACACACCCAGTGTTTCTCTGCATCTTTCATTCTGTGGCTGTTGTTCCATCTCCTCCAAAATAATTCCTAAGTTTTTCAATCTTTGGAAGTAAGGCTTCCAATTTGCGTGTCTACAGAGAAGGGGTAAAGGTAAGTCTTAGAAGAACATGCTACATTTCCATCATATAGATGGGAGTGGGCAAGGTCTAGAAGACTGCTAAACCCAAGCCAATACCAGGGTCTACTGGTTAGCTGCAACAAGCTTAAATGTTTTCAAAAAGGCCCTGGTTGGGCAATACTTGCATAAAGCAAGCTTGGGAATGATCACATACCTATAGCAAAGAACTGTTTAGGGTACAAGAGACTATGCAACTTCTCTGAAAGGCTGCTATTCATCAACAGAAGAACTAGAAATTTCAAGGCCAAAGATATCAAAATGAACTGTCCTCTCTGCTGTTATGCCATGAGGTTCCTTCCCCCAGGCATTTGCCACAATCTTCTTAAAGCTTCTTCTCTCCTCTGACAAGCCTCCAGAGGCCCAAACTTAATAGAATCTGAGAGAAAAGAGCCTGCCGGTCTATGTGCTGTCAACAGTGAGGCCAAACTCTTCCTCCTTCCTCCTGGAGTCAGTTCTCCCTGCTGAGCAGTCAGGTGACGCTCCAATTATGAACTAACTCTACTTGGGTCTCCTTGGCAAAGAGACTGTGTCTTTAGCAGCCTAGCTCAGGGGGCTCGTAATTATGTCAGACCAGCTTATTTTTTTTTCTTCTCTTTTTTTTTTTTTGTTGTCATTGCTGCTTTTTTTTTTTTTAGTATGCGGGCCTCTCACTGTTGTGGCCTCTCCCATTGCGGAGCACAGGCTCCGGACGCACAGGCTTAGCAGCCATGGCTCACAGGCCCAGCCGCTCCGCGGTATGTGGGATCTTCCCAGACCGGGGCACGAACCCGTGTCCCCTGCATCGGCAGGCAGACTCTCAACCACTGCGCCACCAGGGAAGCCCTGTTGTTGCTGCTTTTAAACAAAGAGGTTACGCCTCTGTACAACCAAGTGGAAGAACCAGAATTAGAAAACTTACCAATCGCCCCAGCCAATGAGAATCCATTTCCAACAGGTATTAATGCCTGTTAGAAGCCACTGGAACAATGACATCATCAGCCCAATTGATAGGTTGTCTGACAGATTCGCCCCCTTCATCGCACACAAGAATTTAAAACAAAACAAGACACTGCAGTTATATTCATTATTGCAGACACCAGGTTTGTGTTATCAAATCAAAATTACTCCTGTGGTGTGGACTCCACCACCATTCCCTGCAAAGCCTAACTGTGAGCTGGCCAACACCCTAAACTTTCTAGCCCAAAAACTCTTATCCAAAATACCAACTCAACATTTAGCCCTCCACTGTGATACTTAGTGCCTTCTCTGGTACAGCATGCAAGTTTTAGACAGTGCATGCCAGTGTACCTTGCAACAATCATCACCCTTCTATCTGCAACGAAACCCATGTCATGGGGGACCATGGGCCAACTGTTTAAAGCAGAACTCCCTCCCTCCCTTTTTCTAAGAAAACAAATAAGTGAGCAAGAAGTAGCCTCAGAAGAAACAAACTGCGGGAGAATGTGCACTGAGAAAAGCCGGACTGAGTCCCTCTGGATCAAGTTAATTAAGAAACAATTAGACATGACAGTATATTGGAATCAAAACCAAGGAATGAAGTGAGGACGAGTTTCTCAATTGCCCAGAGGAGAAGACGCAGTTCCTTTTCATCTAAAATTAGAAAGCCACCAGGAACATAAGCCAAGAAGCATGGGTAGGAGGCTGAGAACCGTAATGGGGACGAAGGTGGGGTGGAGGAAGAAAGTAAGTATCCATTTTGTTTTATTTCTTCTATCATTCCTTAGGTTTGCTCCTGGCCTTTGGGATTCAGCAGTCCCCTCCCTCCCCCGCCTGGGATGTCTGGTAACAGGCTGGGAACTCTGTCAACAAGTTCTTAAACGTTTCACAATTCTGCAAAGAGCTGGCAGATAATCTAGTTGGAGGTTCAAGGATGCAAGTGAAAATATTAAAAGGAGGTTTCTGCCTACTCCGCAGTCTCAGGCGAGAGGTCATCTGCCTAGGGAGTGCCCTCGTGTCCTGACACCATCTCTCGACTGGGATACATCGCTAACTAGGTTGGCTTCCACACCCAGCAGTGCCCATGTGGTTGGTGCCGTCGGAATTTCAAGCATTCCCCCGCCCCTCTCTGCACACGGGAGAACCTTGAATTGCGGATGGGCACCTAGAGTTAGAGTGCAAGAGGGTCCCCGAACACAGAACAAGCGCACAGGACGTCGACCGCCTCCTCAGAGCAGACCGAGGCAACGTCCCCGGGCCTGGTAGCGCTGACGCGTGTCGGCCACCGGGCGGAGGGGGTGCCAGGCCCGCCCCGGGTGCCCGATCCTCTCGCCAGCCCCCGGAAGCGCCGCCCTCCAGCCCAGCGGGCTCGGAGGGGGCGGGGAGTCGAACGCCCCCTTCCGGGTGCCTCCGCCTGGCTGGCCAGCCCCGCTCCTCCTCCGGGCGGGAATCCTCCCTCCCCGCCCCTCCCGGAGCCGGGCCCCGGCGCCAGGCCCGGCCCCAGGGGGGAACCCCCAGCCCCGGCTCCTCCTCCCTGCGGCTTCTGCCCGTCTTCCCGACTCTTGAGAGCCGGGAAGACCCCGCCGGCAGCGGCCAGGACCCACCGCTCATTACGACATCTTCCTCCCTGGCCTCCGCCGCCTCCGCCGCCACCGAGAGCCTGACACCGCCCGCTTAGCACCCGCCAATCCCGGAGCCCGCCACCGCCCGAGCGACGGCAGCGTTCACCAATAAGAGTTCGGTACATTGGGGACCGACAGCACCACCAACCAATCAAAGAGAGGCACCTAGAGCGACGTTGGTTTGGCCAATAGAACTGTGAAATGTCACTGATGGACGGTAGAGCGCGCCAACCGGAAGCCTACTGAAGAGTGAACGACATGTTCGCCAGCCAACTGGCGGGAGGCAAAGTCCCGCCTACAAGGTAGTTGATGGACAGCAACAGGAAGCTGGATGGGGCGGGGCTTAGCTGAGGAGTGGTTTTGTATTGGTCGTGGTTGACCTTCCACCCACCTCTAACCCAGAAGATGAGTGATAGATCTGCCCTAAAGCCAATCAGAAGTCATCAGGGTGAGGCCGAAAAATGCCCCATAAATAGCATCTACTTTGCGCTTCAATCCAGTGTAGCCCTGGTGTGGCAGGGGCCTTTCGGTCTTCGGTCACTGAGCCCAGTGCCTGTGGAGTGGAAAGCCACCAGTCTTTAATTTAGTCTCTCGCCCTTCATCGCTTCTGGAGAGGGAGGTGAACCTCCGGGCGACTTTGTACAGCGAGGCATTGGAGTCAGACACAATAGCGGGAGTTGGGGCTAAGTGACACCTCTCAGAGGGGAGTATTTTCGCCGTCTCAGTTCAAACCCCTCTTAATCCTCACCTGGTTATTGCATCTCCCCGCTAACGTGGGCACCAAAATCACCTGAGGCTCTCTAAAAGTAGATTCCCGGGACCGCCTCCCGTGTGTGGGGCACGCCTGGAATATGCATTCTAACCAGCGCCTCGGGTGGACAGAATTGGCCTCTGTCCCACTTACCTCCTTGAACGAGGTGCTGTGAGTTCAGCACTTGGCCAAGGCGCTACCCGGGTAGGTTTATCTTCCCTATGGCTGTGTAACTTTGGAAGGCGTTAGTGAGAAGGAATCCATTCTGGTTTCAGACCAGCCTGGGCTCGAAACTCGCACAGCCTACTTACAGAGAGGCAGGGTACCGAAACTCCGTGCGCCTTATGTCCTCATCTGTAAAATGAGGCTAATCACACCTACATCTTAGAGCAGTGGCTTTCCTTTTTTTAAAAAAAATCATAACCCCACAGTGAGAAATATATTTGCATCCTGACCCAGTACACTTATACTCCTGTGAGTGTATGATAAAACTTTCCAAAAACAATACTTACCCTTCCTACGCGTGATGAACTGATGTTTTCTATCCTGTCCTATCTTATTCTTTCTTCCCTCCCGCCCTCTTTCCTCCTTTCCTTCCTTCCTTTCTTTTTTTTTCAATTGAAGTCTAGCTGATTTACAATATCGAGTTAGTTTCAGGTGTACAGCACAGTGATCCAGATAGATAGATAGATAGATAGATGGATATTCCTTTTCAGATTTTTTCCCTTATAGGTTATTACAAAATATTGAGTATAGTTCCCCTTGCTATACAGTAGGTCCTTGTTGGTTATCTATTTTATATATAGTAGTGTGTATATGTTAATCCCAACCTCCTAATTTATCCCTCCCACCACTTCCTTTTCTTGATCATGACTGGCAGTTTGAAGGACACTATCATAAAGGGTTGGTGTGATAAAATACAGAGCAGAATGCCCAGTATATTGTAATTGTTGAATAAATGTTACTAGTCTCTTCCCGTCTACCCCTCTCAGATTTAGCCTTTGAAAGAACAAGACTTCAAAAGATATCACTCCTCTAGTTAAATCCTTCATTGGCTCCCTGCACCCTTCTGGATAAAAAGTCCATACTCCTTTCTAGGCAAACAATGTCCTTCACACTCTTTGTGTACCTTTCATGCTTTACCTCCCTCTGCCACCCTATTGTCCTTCCACAAATCCTACCTTTTTGCCTCAAGAAAAGATTCCACAGTTCCTAAACACTTACGCATGTCTCTATTTCCCTTCTTACTTTTTCCTTCCTTTTTCCTGGTAAACTCCTACGCATCCTTCACGAACCTGCTCAAAGTCTGAACTCCTGCTGAGCCAGAGCTTTTTACTTCTCTGGGCTGCTCTTGGCACATGCAAAGGGCTTCACTCACTCACACTGCATTGCACACTTTTATTCTTACTTCTTACTTCCCTACTAGACTGTGAGCTGCAGTGGAAGGTTAGAGGCCCATACTAGAGGACCAACAGGAAATGTATGCCGAGTTAAAGAATGAATATTTGCATACAATTACCTCTACATAGGACTTGTTTATATAGACCGTGCATTCTGTTCCCAGGCCATTGTTCAAGTTAAGATTGCTTCACTGTCAAGCCAAGGACTACACCCGGGTTCAGGGACTCAGCTATTTAAGGGTGCAGGGATTTGGGGGCCAGGGAGGTGGGGTTGAATATCCTGCCGGGCGGCTGCCAAACCTCTTATGGGATGAAAGCTGGGGCAGCTGTGCTCCTCCTACCCCAGAGGCCCCATCAGGAAGACAGCAGAAGTGGGGGGAAAGAAAAAGTTTGCGTGTGTGTGGGTGGGGACGCAGGTGCAAAAACGTAGAAGAATTTGCCAGCAGTTCTGAGTAATTTAAATTGCTCTTCCCTGCCATCTTTCTTGTTCTTACCAGAGGCACAGCTGAGGAAGGGAGCATCTTCTAAGGAGAGGACCCTGTTATACTTTTGTCAGGACCTTTGGTGTCTTTGAGCCTCAGTTACAACACCCTAAAACCACCACACAGTTTTGCTTCCCACAGATTGCTTCCCACAGATGCCCCCATACTCTACAGAGAGGAAAGAGGCTGGGCAGCCGGCCCCTAATGCCTGCTTTGTCCTAGCTGCACTTTAGACTCACTTGTGAGCGTTTAATGAATTTTAAAGCCTGGGTCCTATCCCAGGCCAAGGAAATCAGAATCTCTGGGAGTGTAACCCTGGTGACGGTATTAAGAAATTCCTCAGGTGATTCCAACAGGCAGCCAAATTAGAGAACCACTCGTCAGCCCAAAGTTATCTTCCGACGGTGGTGCTCAAGTAAGCCGCTGTGAAGCCTCGCATCTGTACCCTCCACCTCTACCCACTCCTGTCCCTCCCCGTCCTGAATTTCTCCCCTGCCCATCCTACCTGCTTCGATCTCCGTGGCCCCAGAGCCAACAGGTGGTTCCAGCTGTGGGTCTCAGCACCAACCAGGAGAAACGTCTCTTCCCTGGGTGCATCTGGAGACAGTTTCTCCCTCGGTGATATTTCCCTTGTTTCCAATGCTTTCAGCCTCTTCCTGTTCTAAGTTGTCGCTTTCTCCCCATTTCTAATTTATAAAGCTATCCATTCGCCACTCCTAAAATCCCCGTATTTGTCTTGTCCACCATAGCACCTTCCACTCCCAGCACATTGCTTGATATATAGTAGGTGCACAGTAAATGTTTGCTGACTGACTGAATGACTGCATCTTTTTAACCTTTTTCCTGTACTTATTCCCTTCTCTTCCAAGCCCAGCTTCCTCCACCTCCACTTCACTTCTCCTTCCCTGTCTGCCTCTTAACCCCCTTCCCTCTTCATTTTCCCATGCTTTTCCTGCTTCCTGACATTTTCCTTGTCCTTCTTTTCTGCATGTGGCTGCCCCCATCTGATTCATCAGTACCAGAGAGTGAACATCTATCCCTGAGGATGCCTAGGGCACCAGAAGGAGGGAGGGATGGCTGCAGAACCACAGTCTGCCCTTAAGAAGCTCCACATTCCTTCTGGGGCCTCCTATGAAAGGAACCACATGGTGCAGCTGGTGTTGGATGTCCAGAAACTAGAAGAATATCAATGTCCCAGCCCTTGACTATCTGTTAATCCTCACTCACCCCTACAACCCAAGCTTTATTGTTATTTTTGAAGAAGCCAACTCAGTCTTCTAAAGGCTGCACGTTCTGCCTTAAGAATTTTCCCAGTAGCCTCTGCTTCTCCCCTTTTCTTCCTTTGGTTTTCTACATTCTCATTTCTCCTCTTTCCACCTAGTTTAAATGAACCATTTTTTTTTTCTCTCCCAGGTCCATCTTTGATTTCAATTATCCAGGTTTCCTTAGTCTTTTTCTGAGCATGAAAAATTAACAGAGGCTGTAAAATGTATCTCCCTATTATACTGTGGCAGCTACCCCACTCCACACCGCAGGTGCACACACACAGCCACCCCTCCTTCTCCACTGCTCAGGGATGCCAGTCCTACACTGACTCATCAACTCCCTTTGCACCCTGGTTCCCCTGCCCAGACGGTTGGCTGTCCTCTACCAACTGCCATGGAATCTTCCAGCAAGGACGTTCCACTCATCCTTCCCCCACAGGGTTCTTCCTTTTTCCCTGGTTCTTCCTGCTCCCAGTCCCCTTGGGATGAGGTCTGTGGAGACTCAGGAGGAAAGGGCAGCCCCCCCAGGAACCAGTTAGGATGGAAGGCACTGGTGCCCCCTCAGCCTTTGTGTGTCGCCACCAGGGGGCGTCCAAGGCATTTCCAAAAGCGAATGCCGGGTTTTTTAATCTTACTGGAGTAGGAAGGCAAGCACGGAAATTCAGTTTAACAAGCATTCATTGAGTGCCCACTGTCTGCCAGGCTTGTTCCCTGATTCACCTGGAAACAGAGTATGTTCTAGCCTCTACAAAGACTCCTTGAAAAGAACCATTTGCCTCTCCAAGGAATCATTTCCTACCAACCAGCTCCTCTTACTGCCTGGGTAACAGCATCCTCTCTCCACCTTGGCCTCTCCCCTGCACTCAGCCCCTCTCCACCCTTCCTGACCTCGGGACCGCAGCTCCTTGTCTGCT